ATTCTCCTGCCTCAGCCTCCCGAGTTGCTGGGATTACAGGCGTGTGCCACCACACCCGGCTAATTTTTGTATTTTTAGTAGAGACAGGTTTTCTCCATGTTGGTCAGGCTGGTCTCAAACTCCCGACCTCAGGTGATCCGCCCACCTCGGGCTCCCAAAATGCTGGGATTACAGGCGTGAGCCACCTGCCCAGCCAGCTAACTTTAAAATTAATAGGCATTGAATACATAAGATCTGGGAGACTTTCTTTATTAATTCATCCTTACTAAGTGTTATGTATAAGTTATTTGACTTTTTTTGATTTACAGATTAAAATTGTATATATTTGGCCAGGCCCGGTAGCTCACGCTTATAATCCCAGCACTTTGGGAGACCAAGACAAGGAGGATAACTTGAGTTCAGTTCAAGACCACCAGGGCAACATAGTGAGACCTCTGTCTCTATTTAAAAATTTATTTTAAAAAATCATATATATTTATGGTATACAACATGATGTTTATTTTTATTTTTATTTTTTTAAAGACGGGGTTTCACCATGTTGGTCAGGCTGGTCTTGAACTCCCGACCTCAGGTAATTCGCCTGCCTTGGCCTCCAGAGTTTTACAGGCATGAGCCACCATGCCCGGCCACAGCATGATGTTTTGAAATATGTATACATTGTGGAAAGGCTGAATCAAGCTAATTAGCATATGCATTACTTTATGTACTTACAATATTTTTGGTAATAATTGACTTTTTATTTTTAACTGAACTTGGCCTAGCAGAAACTCTCTTAATGTTTTGTTCATTTAATGTTGGGAAACATTTTGTTTTGTTTTTCAGCTCTTCCTTGGAGATTTTTGAGATGCCAGTCAATAATTCATTTTATCCAATATGCTTTTAGGAACATTATTGCTTAGGAAAGTTTTGTCAGTTAATAATTCTTGGTCCCGTCTGGTGTCTGGTATAGGATACTTTGCTTGTTCCTTTTGATTCCCTCTTGAATTCCTTCTGTATAGCTTCAGAGAGTCTCCATATTTCATGCCTCAGTTTCTTGACAGTATAAGATTGGAATCAGTCCAGGCTCAGTGGCTCGCGCCTATAATCCCAGCACTTTTGGAAACCAAGGCAGGTGGATCACTTGAGGTCAGGAGTTTGATACTAGCCTGGCCAACATGGCAAAATCCTGTCTCTACTAAAGATACAAAAATTAGCCAGACGAGGAAGTGCATGCCTGTAATTGCAGCTACTCAGGAGTCTGAGGCAGAAAAATCACTTGAACCCGAGAAGCAGCGATTGTAGTGAGCCAAGATTGTGCCACTGCACTCCAGCCTGGGCAACAAGATCGAGACTCTGTCTCAAAAAAAAGGAAAAAAAAAAGATTGGAATTGTAGAATATTATGGTTGGAGAGATCTGAAAGGTCAGGTGATCTAACTCCTCATCAATACCTCAGTGTTCTCAACATGAGTGATATATCAACCTTGTTTCTAAAAGAAAAATATCCTCCTGGTTACCCAGTGCTGATTTATTGTCTTCTATTGTTATTTAAATATGTTTAAACATAAATCTAGATATAAGTCCTCATGTTGAAATACTTTAATACAATCCTAATGTAAGTTTAAAAAGTTACAAAATCAGAAAACTGCAAATGAACATTATTTAACGTGACAGATAACATTGTTTTGCTGAAACGCAATCACCAGAGTTGTGTTTAACAATAGAAAGACATAGTCTTTCATCTGGTTATATTTGTAATAAGATTTTATATTCAATAATATCAATGCAGAGAATGCTTGTTTTCATAAGTATATTGCACAAAACAGTATGACTAATGGCAGGTCTTCAGTCCTTCAGGATAATCACATGTCCTGCCATCGAATCATCCTCAAATCAATGCTTATTTAATGAGGAGGCCCCCCAACAACTCTGTAAGGCTGTTTTGTCTACCATGTTCATGTGTTCACATGTGCGTTGGTTTATTCAACAAATGTTCACCAAGAGACTGTATGTGCCAAAAACTGCTAGCACTGTGGATACAATGGCGAACCAGAGCAGACGGGGTCCTGGCGGGGAGACAGGCAGTAATCAGGCTGTCACACAAACAGATGCAGAACTGCAACTGCAACAAAGGCACTGAAGCCCAGGGACAGGGCGCCAGGAGAGCCCAGACCAGCCAGGGAGGCGAGAAGGGCTTTCCTGAGGGGGATGCCTAGGCGGGGTCCCAGGGTTGGTGTAAACCAGGCGGAGTGGAGAGAAAAGCTTGTAAGGCAGAGGAAAATGCCTGTGCAGGGCCCATGGGGAGGGGCCTGTGGCACGCTCAAGAAGCTGAGAGAATGTCTGGGTTGGATAGAAGGCCTCATGGGCCTCAGGGATGTCAGGGAAAAGTTTTAAGCAAAGTGGGATAACATGTTCAGATTCCCGTCCTAAAAGGATTACTCACCTGGGTGTGGTGGTTCATACCTGTAATCCCAATACTTTGGGAGGCCAAGGTGGGTGGATCACCTGAGGTCAGGAGTTCAAGACCAGCCTGGCCAATATGGTGAAGCCCCATCTCTACAAAAATACAAAAATTAGTTGGGCATGATGTCGGGTGCCTGTAATCCCAGCTGCTTGGGAGGCTGAGGCGGGAGAATCACTTGAACCTGGGAGGCGGAGGTTGCAGTGAGCTGAGATCACGCCATTGCACTCCAGCCTGGGTGACAGAGCGAGACTCTGCCTCCAAAACAACAAAAACGGGGTTACTGGGCCAGGTAGAGAAGAGGCCTGGAAAAAAGAAGCGAGGAGGCTTTTGCTTTAGTCTAGATGAGGGAATGTTGGTAGCTTAGAGATAGAAATAGATGTTTCCAAGAGCTATTTAATAGATAAAAATCTATAAAACTTCCTAAATATATAACTGAGAGAATTGAAAACAC